GCTAGAGTGGCTCACGGAAGTCAGGGAAGCACTTTACTTGTATTTATCCGTTTGTTATAAAGAATATTACAAAGGACACCGATGATCAGTCAGATGGGAGAGATGCATAGGGCAATGTGTGTGGTGCCTCCATGTCCTCTGAGTGCATTGCCTTCCTGCCACCTCTGCGTGTTCAGCCACCAGAAACCTCTTTGAATTTAGTCTTTCTGAGTTCTATGGGGACTTCATTACATAGGTGTAGTTGGTTAAATCATTGGCCATCTGTGATCAACTCAATCTTCCATCCCTCTCTCCTCCTCAGAGAGGGCATGGCTGAAAATCTCAACCTCTAATCACATGGTTGGTTCTCCTGGCAACCAGGACCCAATCTGAGGATTTCAGGAGCCCATCAAGAATGCCTTTTAGAGCAAAAGATGCTCCCGTCACCCAGGAAACTTGATGGGATTTGGGAGCTCTAAGTCAGACTTTCTTATCAGAAATCACAAAGGTTTTGTTTTGAGTCAGGAATCAAGGCAGAAACCAAAGATATATTTCTTGTCATATCACAAATCTCACCCCCTTCAGTTCATGGCAACTCCATCCTTCCAAATATCAGACTTTCTTTCACACCTCCACCTCCTGCATCAGAGAATTCTACTACCTGCAAAGTAACCAAGATCCCAGCACTCCTCCTCTCCTCCACTGCTACTCCCCAGGCCCAGCCACACTGTTCCCTTGCTGGCATAACTGCAATCGCCTCCTAGTGACCCTCTTTGCCTCTGTCTCTCCCCTACCCCCAGTCAGTCTATTCTCCTCACAGTACCCAAGGGGTCCTTCCAAACCATCATCAGCATCCTATCCCTTTGTGACTCAGAAATCACCAATGGCTGCCACTTCACTTACAGTGAAAGCCAGTGCCCCAGACATGTCCTCCCAAGCTCTCCACACCCAGGCTCTGTCCTTCTCTGACTTCTGTCCCTTCTCTGACTTCTGTCCCACTGCTACATGTGCTGGGGGATCACTAGTTATATGATCACAATCATCGTTCTACCCTTCTTCACTCAATCTGTGGTCCAAGACTTCCTCAGCACTCTCTCTTCTCCTTTGACTTCTAGGTGCATCCAGTCCTTGGGAAGATGAGAGGCAGGAGCTGCAGGATCTACTCTTCTCTGGACCCTTCTCACCTATGGCCTTGACTAGGCCATGGTTAGATTCCTCTGTCAGGGACATATTTGCTAGTTTATCTTTATCCTGTCCATATATTAAGAAGTAACTCCTTCTTTATACTCAAAGTATTCCTTAAAAGGTGCTCTCTGCATCCTGCTCTGTCCTCACATGCACGGTGTACAAGTTCCACTCTCCTCAGCACGCCCTCTGATATGCTGGACACACTCCTGCCTCCAGGCCTTTGCACTGGCCCTTCCTTTTTCCTGTCACAGTCTTCTCCTGGATGCCCATGGGTGCCTTCTTCATGTCCTTCCAGGCCTTGCTCAGCTATCACCTTCTCAGTGACAGATTCTCCCTCTCCCTTTTTGAAAATCACACTCCCTCTATTCCACCATCTGACATACTACATAATTTACTTATTTTGTTTTTTTGTCTTTCCCCTCTCAGCAGAAAGAAAGCTGGGCAAGGGAGAGATTTTTTGCGTGTTTTGTTCACTGCTGTACTCATGATGTAGGTCAATGCCTAGATGTAAGCAGGTGCTTGATAAATATTTTTTTCACTGAGCAATGTGATTAAGTGATAAATTGTTATCTCACAGGGTCTGTATTACATTCCTAGGGCATGCAAAAAAGTGCCACAAACTGGGTGTCCTAAAATAGTCACATTCTGAGGTACTAGGGGGTTAAGACTTCAATATAAGCCTGGTATGGTAGTGGACTCTGTAGTCTGGCACTTGAGAGACTGAGGTGGGAGAATTTCAAGTTCAAGGCTAGCCTGGGCCACACAGTGAGACCTTGTCTCAAAACAAAAATGAAACAAATAGCTATATGCTAGTGCTCATGCCTGTAATCCTGGCTACTTGGGAGACTGAGATCAGGAGGATTGCAGATCAAGACCAGCCTGGGTGAGACCTCCATATCCAAAATAACTAGAGGAAAATGACTCAATTGGTAGAGTGTCTGCTTTGTTTGCAAGTGTGAAGCTCTGAGTTCAAACCCCAGTTCTACCCCTCCAAATAAATTTTTTAAAATGACATATATTTCTATATATGTGCATATTTTTCAGGGTAAGGACATTGTTCAACCAGTAGAAGGATCTTTCAGTTATTGTAGTACACAAGTAATTATTACCCCAATTAGATTGTAACTTTTCCAGGAAAAAAACTAACTTTACATCCAAAGTGGCAAACCAATAGCTCTTGAGGTACATTTGGTCTGCAGGTGTGTGTGTCTACTCTATAGTCCTGGCCACAGGACTATAAGAAAGGTTTTTCTGACTTAGCTTGTGAACATTTGAAAGGTGGGAAACTTCACCTGCAGACCTGGATTTCTTGTTTCGTTCTACATGGCTTCCTCTCCTAGTTCAACACTCAGATAAATATCAGATTCATTATTCCAGTTGTTCAGACAAAAACACTTAGAAGTACTCTTCATTGGATTTTTTTCTCTCATACATTTAATACAACAGTACATATTTTGTGAGGATTAATTTTATGTGCCAACTTGCTCAAGCTATGGTGCCCAACTGCTTGGTCAAATAGTAGTATAGATGTTGCTGTGAAGTTGCTTATGGTGGAGCTACATCTCCATAAACCCATGGTAAGATGAAAATATTGTAAGCCTGGCTGGAGTTGTAACTCAGAGGTAGAGCCCTTGGCTAGCACATGCAAAGCCCTGAGTTTGTTCCCCAACACTGAAAAAAATAAAATGAAGAAGGAAAGAAAATACAGGTCAAAAGTGCCTTTAATGCACCTAATCTATTGCACATTCAAAGTTAGCAATATTGGTTGCTTATCCTTGGGATCCCATGGCTGATGAGAGCTGTGGCTCACCATCACTGCCCAGCATCAAGAGTGTCACCATTTAGCCTGCTGTGGCTTTCTGTGACCTCATCTCTAAACCCTTCCTTCCCTCAGTAGACTCCAACCACACACATGCTTCCTTTAACTTGCCAAGCAAATTCCTACCCCAGGCCCTTTGCTCCCGCTGCTTTCTCTGCCTGGAAATCTCTTTATCCTGAAAAATTAATCTGAGCTACTCATAAACAGAATAGCTCTAGTTTCTTGCATCTCAAGGGAAGCAGTGACTTCACCAAAAATGGCCAAAACTTGGCCATCTCAAACCAATTGCATCAGGGTGTCATCAGTGACAGTTGGCCTGGGCATCCTTCAGTAGTTGATCTTCATCATTTACAGTTTCTGATTGTTGCTGCCACTACCTAAGAGTGGCGTACAGACAAGTGAAGGAGAAGTGCTAAGTGTGAGTGTCTGTTTGCATATGCAAGTTAAACGGAGCTCTTCACCGTCTGATTCTCATGTACCTCCCAGTCTCTGCATGGCTACTTTCTAAAAGAACCCTTACCTTCTATCTTGGGTGTGAGAAAACACCTGACTCATTCTGTGCCATGGGAAATAGATGCTTTAAACAGATGCGCATAAAGAAAACGCTCACCATGGGGGATTGTGGTCCAAGAAACCACCCTGACCCTCGTCTCCTCAGCTAGTGCTCAGCTGGCTCCAGGGGTCTCTGTATCAGGCCACCCAGTCTGACATTCATTAATGAAGACAGTGGGGTCTTAGGCAAGTTATATGTTCCTCTCCACCCAATCCCTCACCAAAAAAAAAAAAAAAAAGTATTGCCTAAATTATGGGGCAGGGGTGGGACTTATATAAAGGAACTTATAATGAGTGCCTGGCTCATGATAAACATCCCCTAACTGTGACTCTGGCTAAGTGAGCACTGAACCTGCACTGCAGCTGGACTTCAGAGATGCACTTGAGACCCCACTCTGGGCCTGGCTGGTATGTGCTGTGGACACTCCAGCGAGACCAGCTGTGAGTCTATCCTTCACTCTGTCACGCAGAGCTTCTCCCAGAATGTAAACTTGACCAGACTACTGCCTCCTTAAAATGCCATCCACTTCTAGAGAGGCTGCAGCACAGCCTGTGGGGACCCTGCCTCCTCTTCACCTACAGCTCCTTCTTTTTTGGAGTGCCCATGGGGACCTTTGCTAGGAGTGTGAAAGGAACATTAAGTAAGGAGGAGTACTGAGCCTGGATGTTAGACTAGTCAGGCCTCTGTGTAGCCTTGTAGTCATTCAGCCATGTTTTCTCCATCTCCTTTGAGAGATCTCATGGGTGATTTCCTGAAAATCAGCCACACTGTCACCTGCATTTCTCTGTTTTACTGCCTATTTGAAACAAAATAAACTAGGTTGGTGGGACCAGTTTTTCATTCATACCTATAGGCTTAAAGGTATTCAGTCCTCCAGTTGGTCCCTCACCTGTAAAGTGCTGGGTGACAGCAGGTGATTTCCTGAATTCCTTACCAAGACTTTGGGAGCCAGAGCTAGGAAATTCACCATTGTTCACCAGCAAGGGGAATAGCTCACTGGTGCTGTGAGATGCTGTGCCTACAGCTCCAGTTTTGTCTGATAGCCAAGGGAGGCGTTTACAGAGAGGGTTGGGGTGGGGTCACCTTCCAAGGACTGACAGGGAGCCTTTGTGGGCCAAGTCAGTCAGGGAGCAACCAAGAACAATGGCCTTGATTCCTGGGATGCTCTCTGCCCTCCTCTGCCTTGGCTGCCTGCACAAGAACCAAACTGTGTATCTCAATCCTAGAATTTGAGGAATGTGCCACAGCCTGATAGGCACGAAGCAGTCTGTAGAGAGACAGGGAGGAGCTGCTCTCAGGCCCAGGCCTGACAGTGAAAGAACTATCAGGTCTACAGGCTGGGTGGCCCCTCCCACCCTCCCTGGCCTCCGTGCTGCAGCAGGATGTCAAAGACTGCATTGTGCATTGAGCGGCCTTGGTCCCTCTCTTGTGCCAGGGAGGAGGCGGGAGGAGGGACACAGCTGGGAGGCTCCCAACGCTCTTCTGGCTGGTGTTCCCAGGGGCCTTGGCCTGGGGAGGATGGTGCACACATGGGTGGCTGCTTCTGCATCCCCAGGGAGCGGAGTCTGTCTTGGGACCCAGGTGAGTTTTCTGGGGGGCTCTGTCCTGATGGCTTGGCCAAGCTGGCTGGTCCAGGAAAGGCTCAGGTTGCTTCTGGGTTGGGGAAGCTGCCCTTCCAGAGTTAGGAAGATGGTGTGTTTTCTGGTTGCCCGTCTTCGCTTCCTAGCTCAGTATTTGCCATTCTGGCTTTGTAAAAAGAGAGTAAAGCCTGGAAAGAGTCTGCTTTTCTTGGAGAAAGAGGCTTTAGGCTTGCTCTGCTGGGGGGAGCGAGGGCTGCTCTTGGCTGCCACTCCTAGTGTGTGACTAAGCCCTTCCTTCCTTTCTTCCCAAGATTCCCTAGGGCAGGAAGAAGGTTCCAGCAGTGAGTTCCTCTGTGGCCTACGGGTGGTCATAAATTTGGCTTCAGTCACTCAACTCTATTTTGGTCCAGGCTGCTGCCACTGAAGAAAAACAGGCTGTTTCCTGCCTCCTACCTGTTACAGTGGTTTATGGCATGTCAAGTTGTAGCCATGGAGAGTTGTAGCTCTAAGAAGCTGTCAAGTCAGCTGAGACTGGACATAGGGTGACCAGTCATCCATGTTTGCCTGGAACTGAGGAATTTCCTGGGAACAAAGTCAGTGTTAAAACCCGGACAGTCCTAGGCAAAACAGGACATGCAAACCTTAATGCAAACTCCCTGCTCTTTTTCAGAGTACAACCAAGATGGGACCTGTGGTCTCTTGCAGGGCATTTATCAGATTAAGTGGTGGCTTTGGGGGAGGGGGTAGATAGGGAAGATTCATTTGGGAGATAGAGGGGGATTACTCCAAGGACTCATTCCTGATCCTTGTTAAGGTCCTGTGTCTTCTTGTAGTAGCGCCATGGTTCCTGAGATCACATTTGGGGAGCACTCCCTAGCTAGGGGCTTTCACTCTCTGACAGATGTCTTCCCGCTGTGATCTTGTGGCTTGGGCTCATAGAAGTCACTCAAAGTCCTTAAAGTGAACAAGAAGCAGGAAGTCCTGGCCCAGGCATCTTGGCACAGACTGAGGAGGACCTCCCAGATGTGGTCCACCTGGGACCTAGAAGAAGCAAACAAACCCAAAACAACACTGTTGTCACAAAAGGCTATGATATTTTGTTTCTCCAGGTTTCTGGAATTTATCAACTTTTTAGACCCTCCCCCAAATCCTGTTGTCCTTGTCCACCATGGGAGCAGACATAGCACTGGGGAGTGCAGGATCACTGGTCTGGAAGTCAGGGACCTAGCTTCTCATCTTACTTTGTTTATTCCCTTTAGGCAGGTGTCATCGTGGTCCATTACCAGGTCTTTGAGGCTAAAGTGTCTGGGTTTGATCTTGCTTCTTTTAATTGCCTTGAGTCATTTTTTTTTAACTTCTCTGTGTTTTAGTTTCCTCATTTGCAGGTGAATGAAATAATTATGCATTCCTCATAGGACTGTGGTGGGGTTAAGTTAACATGTGAAACACATAAAACAGCCGAGCACCAATTAGGCACAATAAACATCAGGCCTTGTTAATTACATTTCTAGACTCTGGCATATCACTTTGTCTCTTGGGGCTTCACTTGGTCATCTCTGAATTTGGGGGTTGTAAACTGCCAGTGAAGGGGCCTCAGAGAACTCTGCTCCTGATGCCTTACCCCAATTTCAGCTAGAGCATTTCTGCCTCTGTTTAACAAAGGTTTCATGCAGAACAGAGTTCTCCACAAAACAAAGAAATCAACATTGAAGCAGTTGTCCTCAAAATTCTAAGATACCGTCATCCAATTATTTTACTCTTTCACTTGTTTTTTTTGCCATTGGTAACTGGGTTGACCCTCTGGATTCACTTTTTCACTAGGAGTCTGCCTACGGTTTATTTTTGTTGAAGCTTTTCATGCCGTTCCTCCATGTTATTCTCCATACATGTCAGACCCTTTCCTGAGGGAGGTTGGTAAAGATGTTGTAGGTCTGAGGTCAGTTGACATAAATATTTCTATTCTAGCTTCCTCTACATATCCAGGGAAATGGTACAGGGTCTGACGCACGACCTGAGGGGAACTAATAGTTGTGTGATCTTCAGCAAAGCTCTTGTATTCTTTAGACCTTAGCTTCCTGGCCATGTAGCAGTGGACCTAGTGGGAGTGCCATCACACAGAACTCTCGTGAGGATTAGACTGGATAATCCATTTCGTGGACTTGGCAGAAGGTCTGACTTCTGATGACCTCTCCGTAATTGCTGTTTTATAGTTTGCTAACTTAGACCACTCCCACACCCCTACTTCCTAATTTCTGTCTTTTTGGAGCCAGAGTCTGTGCTCATGTTTCTTTGGCTGGTTCTGCTGCTGTGTCTGTAAGTGGGAGTTAACAGTGAGGACGAAACTGTGTGTCCTCAGGATAAAGAGGCAGGAGAGGAGATAGCTCTTGATAGTGTGGAGTCCTGGACACCTGCCCGACTGGTGTGCTGTGGGGTGATGCCATAATGAATGATAATGACTGTTGGCTGGGACCACCCAGACCTGCTGCATTGCCCTGTGTGGACTCTGCCCGAGGCATCTGTGCTCCAAGGGGTTCTCATTTGCTCTCAGAAATCTCCCACTTGCACATGGTGAGAGGGTGGGTCTTGGTCAGTTGCCAGCACCTCTGACTCCTCCCCACCCTTTGATATTTTCCCATTGTTTAGTAAACTTCAAGTCCTCACTTTAGATCACAGAAAAAAGTCCTGTCAGAGTTTCTTGATCTAACAGCTTTTAGCACTTCTCCCTTAGCTTCAACACTTTTGTGAAGAAATTTACAGAAATTCTTGTTGGAGAGAAATATTTGCCTACGCTGATCACTAGTGTTTGTAACTTTCTTTTCAGCCTTTTTGGTAAGTTTGAATCAACACTATAATAATAGGAGATCAAGTTTGCTGACAACAGCAAAGCAAGGAACACTTTAGAATTTTAAAGGAAGGGTGAGGTATTTTGTACACAGCGTTGATACAGAATGTTAAAATAATAAGCATGGCTTCTATTTCAACAAATTTCTACTTCATGCCATATCGACATCAGAACTTCTTTATTTCTGTCTCTTACTTTTTGAAGAAATAAAACATGGCAGATACAATTCAAGTCCCTTGGATGACTCTCTCCAAGCTCATTCCTCTCTCTCACCAGTGTTAATCACGTTCATGAATTCAGGGATTTTGTCCTCTAATACAAATTCATACATCCACAATCATGCAAAGAATTGCTTTGCAGATTTTAAAATTTAAATAAGTGATAGCATTATACAACTTGCTTTTCCCCTTCAACATTATGATCTGAGATGTATCCATATGGATAGATGTAGCTGTAGTTCTAATTTGATACTTGTCCCAGCAAGGAGAATGTGGGTTTGCATCATAAAACTGCTGATGGTATGCTTGGTGGGTCAAAGAAGAAAAAGAAAATATGTGCGTGGAGGAAAGAAGCATGCAGGGAAATGTTTGCTGTGTAATTTTCTTCTTTAAGTTGGGGTGGGGGTGGTTGGGTTGGAGCAGAGAAGCCAAGAGAAGAAAAGTGGGAGGGAATTATTTCTAGCAACTTTCTGTATGTGAGGTGTTTTCCTAATCAGAGACCTTGAGGTCAGACTCTGTAGCAGAAATAGCAAGGTCTGCAGTCAATGATTTGGATGACCTCCAACTCTTGCTAACTTGCCATGTGACCTTGGTAAAATCATCACTTCTCTCTGGGCTTTACTGTTTCAACAGTAAAGTTAGGAGTGGAGCCAAGTGATCTTTTCAATCCCTTCCAACATTCATTTTCTGTAATTATTGTTTCTTCCCCATCTTTATCTTTTATATTTGATATGTCAGCATGTTTTCTTTTTCTTACTTTAAAACACAGTATCATTTACATCACCAAAATCACAACCCACATTTTCACACTCACACCCATGGATTTTCATAACAGTTTTTCAGCTGGCCTCTTCCCCTCTTGTGCCTCCCTTTCCGTGTTCTTCCTATGCCACTCCAAGTAGAATGTTCACTTTATGTGCCATTCCCACGCTCAAGAAGTTTTCATAGCTCCCCATTGCTTACTTCCCTATACAGCTCTGCGTGCCATGAAGTGCTGCCCTCATTCTGACCGTACCATATTTACCAATTTCACTTCCAAGACCAACCACCTTTTTAGCGTGTGCAGGCTGACCTTTACCACCTCACAGATTTGCAAAGCTCATTCCCACCTATGCTGTTGATCTCGTTGCTGGTAATCTCGCCTTCTTACCACCCATGTAATCTGCCAAGAAAATAAAAAGTAAGCAATAGAATGGAGTATAATATTTACAAACACATATCTGATACCTGTATCTAGCACACATATTTTAAGAACTCTTAGAATTCAAAATGAGAAGGCAAATAACCCAATAAAATTAGCTGCAAAATGCTTGTACACACAAATTTCCATAAAAAATATGGATAGGAAATAACCACATGAAGTGTTATTACGGAAATACAAATTGAAACAGTGAGATAAAACTGCATGCCCACTGGGATAGCTAAAATTAGAAAGACAGGTAATATCCAGTGTTGGTAAGGCTGTGGAGCAACTGGAACTTTTGTATATTGTTTGTGGGAATAGAAACTGTTGTAGTCACTAAGGAAACCAGTTTGGCAGTTACTAAATAAAGCTCAAATTTTTTTTTTGGAAATGAATGTTAGTAACTTTTTCTGATCAATAATAATAAAATGAAACTAGGTTACATCAAAAGTAATTTACTGATTTTAATTCAAACATGTCTGGATCAAGATATTCAAAAAATGTTATCAAAAAGCTGTCTTTCCCTAATCTCTGTATAGGGTTAGCCTCAACCTCCTCAGGCTCTCTTCCTGTGGTGGCACCGCATAGCTCCAGGCTGTCATAAGCATAATTTCAAGTGTAACAGACAGAAATCTTCTCTTCCTTAAAAGTGTTGATGAGGGTGCTATGACTAATTTTCATTGGCTGAACTTTGGTCATGTGGCTATGGAACAGCATAACCTGATTGGCTTATGCTTGAGTTATGGGGGGACCCACAAGAACCACCTGGACTATGTGCATATAGGTCACATGGCTAATGATGAAGCTGAGGTTTGAGTCCAGGACTGTCTCCTTGCCACTTGTTCTTAGCCACTCTTTTTCTGCATTCAGTGTTGGTAAACAAATGCATGTCTTTCACAGAGTTTTTGGGAAGTAAACAAAACTATAGAAAATGATTTAGTAATATAAGCCTTTTGTTTTTTCTTTCTGTCATTAAAATATATGTTTTTCCTAAGGTACTCCATTCTACATATTAGTTTTTTTTATTGCCTTGAACTGTCTCCGTTTCTTTTTCAAGGCCTTGCTCAAATCTTTCTTTCATGTTGAAATACAACTCTAGGTATAAAAAAGCTCCAGACACTGTAAATCCTGGTGCCACTATTACCTCTTCTTCCTCTTATAGAACTCACTTTTTACTTTTCCAACTTCCTAGTTGTTTCTCAAGGAGCATCCTCTGCTTCATGGATGCTTAGGCCTCATACTCCAGAGGACTTCAGAAATAGTCAAAGTGTTAATTAAAAATGCCTGTTTCTAGACTCTCCCTCTACATTTTTCCAGGTAGAGTAGGTAGAGAAGGGCTCCAGGGATAATTCAAAATTCAACTTTTTATTAAAATTTATTGCTCATATAGAATTGTGCAAGAAATTATGGAGTAGCATGAATTTTCACAAGGCAAATATTCCCATTAATTCATTCTCATTGACGTATTGGATATATATACACACATACATATACACATGTATGTATATCATACATATACATGTATAAAATCACTTACTTAACCATCCTAGTGCGGATGACTTTTGAGTTGTTGCTAAGGCTATGAATAGTGCTGTTCTGAATATTTAAATATTTATCTTTATCTGTCTTTTTCATTTCAGCGGGGCTGTGTTTTGTTGTGGCTCTATTTTTTATTTCAATGATGAAATTGAGCAAATTTTCATCTTTCTTGGCTGTTTGGATATTATCTTTGATGAAATACATAGTTATCCCTTTTGTGCCTTTTTCTAGTGTGTTGCCCACCTAGTTCTTAAAACTATGTAGCCTTATACTTTTTGTACCTTTTGTTCAAGGCTTTAAATGACTATACATATTGTCAATATTTTCTCCTACTCTGCCACTTCCTTATCACTGTCTTAATGATTAACAGGAAATCCCCAAATTTAATGCGTTACAATTTATTTATTATTTTTATTGATAATAGAATGTTCCCATAATGCTTAGAAAGTCTCTGGCAACTTCGAGTCATACAGATAGCCATTTGTATTTTCTACAGGTTCATTTTATACAAATGTCTTTTTAATGTTTTACTTTTTCTGGTGCTGGGGATTGAACCCAGGGCCTCCCACACATTAGGCATGCACTCTACCCAGACATCTTAATAACTGAGTATCTAAGGGGGAAAGGGGATAAAGGAGAATAATGGAGGGGGTGAATTTTTATAAATGTCACAAAGTACCCCCAGTAAATAATAATTAAAAAAAAAGAAACAATTAAAACAGGCTGATATGAGATTGCTGCCAGTGTAGCAGGTAAAACAAACAGAAAAGCATACAAACAAACAAAAATGAGTACCTAAGTAATTCTGATGCAATCAATCCACAACTCACGTTTTGCAAAGCTGTGATTCTTCTGTTCAGAACCTCATACACCCTTTAAAAGCTGTGTACCCTCTGCCCCATACTGGAGTCACCATGCTGGATTTTCTTTCTGGAAGGTGTCCTCTCTTCACTAGTTCTCATTGTTAGGCCATTGTCTCTTCTGTGGAGTTCACTAAGGACACAGTCTCAAACTTGCCAGGGCCAGAAGTCAATGAGCAACTGGAAAGGTGGGGTCCATGGTGGCTGGACAGCAAATGCCCTCTGGAGGGACTCACCCAAATGATTGCATGAGAATGAGAATCCTGGGATACAGATCGCCCAGGTTTCAAAACAAACCCAAGTGTCTGGGTTGTGTAAAATATTCTGATTTCTAAATGATGTTAAGTGATTCAAACTAATTCACTCAGGAAATGAAAAAAAAGATACTTGGGGATTTTTTGTAGCCTATGGTTAAACTTTGTCCTAGGGCAGGGGAGTAGGCAGCCACTCTGATTGTGGTCCTGGAACCAGTGGCCGGACACCACCCTGGAATCCATTAGAACTGCAGAACTTCAGCTTTCAACTCCTGTGGCAGAATCTGCATTTTATCATATCCCAGGTGATTCTTGTGCACAGTGAAGTCTGAGAAACACTAATCTACTCCCATGGTTATCAACACTGCCTCAAAATTTTAATTCCCGAAAGGGAATAATAATAATAATAATAATAATAATAATAATAATAATAAAAAAAAAGACAGCCTATGGCTGCACTCACAAACCACAAAAGTCAGAACCTTTGGAGCAGAAGCCAAGGCACTGGTATTTTATAAAAAGCAATTTGGACTATTCAAATAGACAGTCAGGTTCTGAAGTACTAATTTGAGCCAACCCTTCACTGATAAATAGAGAAATTAAAGGTTCAAAGGTGGACAGGTCAAGTGTCTGACCCAAGGCCATTTACCTAGTGTGTGGGAACATCTAGGGAAAGATGTGATCTTTCTCATCTCTCATGATTCCCAAGCCAGCGCCTTTTTGCTTCAGTTGCTTCTGGTTCCTGGGGCAGAACTACAAAATAATCCTGTTTAACTGTAGCTCATTACTGCCAGCTTTCCAGCTAAGCTGCTTAGCTTCCAGCACTGAACAGCTAACAAGATTTTCTGGATGGAGAGCTGTGAGCTGATGGGCCCCTCCTCTTGCCTGTCCAAGCTGAAATTCATTTCATTCTCCTTGTACATCATACCCCAGACACTGATACCTCCTCCAACTATGGAGAAAGGAGGAATCCCACTTGGGTGTCAAAGTGCTCCTGCAGAGGCACAGAAGGGAGCCGATGGCTCTTGGCCGAAGAATGGGATCTGAAGTTCAACATCAACCAGCAATGAGTGTGACTGCTCTGTTCCCCTGTACTTTTGGGCTGTCATTAGAAGAAGAGATCCAGAATGAAAGACCTGGTGGAGCTGTTGGTCTCTAACCCATTATCTTACAGGAAACTGGGAGGATTAAATGAGTGATTCATAAATAGTGGTTAAGCCGATTCCTAAACTTTCTTCCCAGAACCATTTTATGTCTATGGTATTCTGACTCCATGGCATAGTCCTTGATCTGTTTCATGGTCAAAAGGACAGACTCCAGCAACCAAAATTAAGTGTTAAGGGCTTGAGTATCCTTGTATTTTAGGGCTACCATGAAGCAGGCCTCCATTCTGTAGCAATCCTGGTGAAACTCTCTTGTTCTTTTGTATCTGCTGCCTGTTCTTTATAGCTGCATGGTCTCTTTCAATTTTCTGTCATTAAAATACCATTCTCTTTGACCTCCAGCCTGTGTCCTGATCTTTTTTTCTTTTCTTTTTCATCCATTTCTACAGCTGAAGACTGCAAATTTATGGAGAGCTGTGAGGAAAGACATCTGAAATAGGACCCTATTTAGTGGGCAGATAGGACGATCTGGGGACAATCACACATCAGGGCCAGTACAACCAGCCCCAGACATCTCTCTAGTGATATCATTCTCCCTTATTCTACTCCAACCTTCTCATTATCCACACATTCATTGGCTTAAACCTTGTAGTAGTCAAGTTGATAATGTCTGTGTTGGTTTCACTATTTTGGACATCTTTGATGTACTAAGCCATGGAACTTGGTTTGACCTATGGGTGGGAATTTGCTTTAAAAAAATAGGGACACCCAGTCTGCTACAGGATTGAGATAGCATGTATGGCAGTTCTTTGATAACAGTTGGTTACAAAATAATTATAAGGCAATGGTGATAACATTGAAAAATCTTCCACACCACTAAAACCTGGAAAAACTTGGCACTTGATAAAAATTTGCAGACTGTGTTTATGACTTCCTTACATTTTTACAAATGGTCTTCCATTTTGTCTTCACTAGGTAAAGGAGGGCCTTCCAAGGATCCAACCGTATCAAGTGAGTGCAAATCCTCATCTGAATACAAGGAAAAATGCTTCCTGCCACAGAATACGACTGCAGGTATCTGAATCCCAAAGATAAGTATTATTTTACAATTACCCTCCATGTAAAATATTGCAGCAATCTCCTTGTCGCTCCCATCTGAAGACTCTTTCTCCCCAGGCTCCACCATCAAATGCATCTTTGTAAGCATGAATTTATGAAATTGGCTTGTTCACAAACCTTCCCAGGCTAGTATACAAAGCTCTCCAGAATTTGGTATATATTAGGAGCTCTGTATATATTATGGAGGCTAGAGAAAGTATATCACTGATTAGATTTTAAGGTGCTGGGTACAGGGCTAAGTTTTTAAAAATAATTATGTTAAAAAAAAGAAAAAATATGTATTCGACATGATGTCTCAAAGAGTTGTTTGTCATTTGTGTGTATGTAGTTGGTTCTCAGAAAACGTTAACAAATAAATACATGAACTGTTTAATGAGTATGTGGAGATTATGTTTATATTCTATATAATAGCGAACACAGTTCCTCATATGTAGTAGGTTCTGAACAAATATTTGTTAAATAAATGAAAAAGTGAATGAAGTGCTGAATACGTAGGATGAGGTTAGCTGAGCAGAAGGGCATCTTATGAACTTATCAGGAGCAGAAAAACACTGGAAATTAGTATGAGAAAATTTTGTTTATTTATTTTTGTAATACTGGGATTTGAACTCAAGGCTTGCTAGACAGGCACTCTACCACTTGAGCCACATCCCCAACACCCCCACCCCTTTTTTTTTGCTTTAGTTATTTTTCAGACAGAATCTCTTGTTTTTGCCTGAGGCTGGTCTAGAACCATGATTCTCCTACCTATGCCTCTCTTGTAGCTTGAATGATAGAAATGGCTTGTTGGTTGAGATGGTGTTTTGCTAACTTTTTGCCTGGGCTGGTTTCAAACTGTGATCCTCCTGATCTTTGCCTTCTGAGTAGCTGGGATTACTGGCATTAACCACTATATCTGGAATAATCTTATTCTTAATAAATATCTTATAAAGCCCCTTTTAGAAGAGTTCAAGGAAGTCCACAAAAAGAAAGTTGTTGCTGGGCATGGGTGGCCTGCCTATCATCCTAGCAATTCAGAAGGCAGGCTGGAGGGTCATGAGTTTGAGGTCAGCCTGGGCAAAGTCAGTGAGACCCTATGTTGAAAACAGAGTATAAACAAAAAGCATTGGGAATGTGGTAGAGTGCTTGTCTAGAAAGCATGAGGCCCTGAGTTCAGTCCCCAGTACTGCCAGAAAAGAGTTTTCATTAGAGACTGCTCCACCTGGAGTGAACCTTATACCAGAAACTCTGAAGACAAGCCTATATATCTAGCCTTTGCTAGATATATATAATATATAAAAAATTATATATATATATATATTTGTGGATATATATTTGTATATCCCACAAATGCTATATATATATATATATATATATATATATATATATATATCCCACATATCTATATAGTATCCCCTATATAACAGGGATACTATATATATATCCCTGTTATATAGTAGCAGGGACCATTTTTGAAAGCAAACCATGTGCCAGGTGATCTGTACGTGTTCCTCTCATTTTTACATGCTTATTTATTGTGGAGGCACCAAAATCCCTAGTTAGCAGGCAGGAAGTGAGCGTCTCAGAGAAGAAAATGATAGGTGGCACATGATGAGGAAGGGGTTCAAACCCTAGTTTTTATTTGTATCCACCATGTCCAGTGTTCTCCAAAAGTATACTTTTCCCTGGAATGCAAAATATGTATTTGTGAAAATGTTACATTTTGAATGTTTTTAAGAATAAGAATCATATAAATAGATATTATATAATTATACCAGGTTCTTTTTACTCCCAGTTTCAAATTCTGTCAAACTGCTTGGTTGATAATGAGAAACATCTTGCCCTTTATTTTTTGCTATTGTGTCAGTCTGTTTATCATCTGTCCGCTTGGGCAATCCTAGGGGAAAAAAATCCAACAACCTGAATTGCCATCTGTCCTTTCATGAATGCAGAGGAGTCAGCATTTTGCCTCATTAGTGCATGAAAGCCAATGAACAAAGGTTATCTTTAGGTGAAACCAAACCTACTTCAGGGTGAATTTGTCCATCTTTCAGCATTTTCATGATTCATGATGCTGTTTATGAGAAGGTCACACACAGTGTGAGAAGGGCTGACTCTGTGCTAGCTGACAACCTTTCTTTATGCAGAACGGTCACAGACAAGAGTCAAGTAGATACATTATCACAATTACAAGACTAGCTTCCAGAGGATTCAAATCTGGCAAAATGCACTTAACCATAGAACTAGAGTGACCTTGACTCACTGCCGCTCTAGAGATGTAGAAAGTATTGTAGGATCCCATCCACACAGGCATTTTGCTGTATCAGTTTTGGCTGGTTAATATCTCAAAACCAGCTGGGAGCTGTGGCCCATGTCTGTCATCCTACTACTCAGGAAATAGTTCAAGGCTAGCCTTGGCATAAAGCAGGACCCTATCTCAAAAACAACAAATCAAAAAGGGCTGGAAGTGTGGATCAAGCTGTAGAGTACCTGCCTAGCAAGTGCAAGGCCCTGAGTTAAAACTCCAGTACCACAAAAGAACAAACAAACAACAACAAAAAAAAAAAACAAAAAAAAACTCACAAGCAGTTTGGTTATTTAAACAATAAATATATGTTTTGTATATGTGGGGTTAGGAGCATAGTAAGGAGAGTCACACTGAAGGAACTATTCCAAGAGATTCTAAGAGGGAGTTTGGATTCAGTTTTGGAAGGCAAAATAAATGGAGTTTGCTAGAAAGGAATCACAGAATTGGAGCTGTAGTCAAGGTTAAGAGTCATGAGTAGATGAGAACAGACATGAGCAGCGGCTGCTGGAGTACTAGGGTGAAAGACAGGGAGCAATAGCTAATGCTTAATGTGTTTACTGAACATTAAATATGCAGCAGGCAATGAGTAAAAGATTTACACGCACTTCCTCCAAGAAGTCAGCACGCAGTAAGACTACCAAGTGGGGGCTGCCAGAGATGGAGGGGCTGTTTGAGACAGGCGCACAGGCCATGGAGGAACTGAGCAGAAGAAGCAATTCACCTGGATTTCATGACAAGTCAGGTGTCTGAGCATGTAGTGTGGGAGCTGATCAAGACTTCTGAAAAAGTTAAAGACAGGCTCTTTAGTGGTGGGAGTCCAGGACTGCTTCATGGACACGGGTTGGCCTGACAAGGGCAATCTCTAGTGTGCTCAGGATTTGCAAAGGTCCTGGCAAGTTGGGCTAGAAGAGAGACCTTTGTGATTATCCAGTCCAGTGCTTTCTCTGTTTATTGTGTTAGATAATTGGTACTTATCATTTCATGAAGATGCATTCAAAAGGACAATCACTGTAAAAAAAAAAAAGTGTGGCCTCTTCTGACAACACCATCCAAATGACTCACTCTCCAACAGTTCTAGCACACTTTTTTCTTGACCCTATTACCTTTTTATACCACTCTTTTTCCATCTGAAAAGAATGTTCTCATAAATTATTTACTTGCCAAGTAGAATCCATACTCCATGAACCAAGGCAGACTAGGTCTGCCTTGTTCTCTGTTGTATCCTCAGCACCTAAAACAGTTTCTGACTCATGATTCTCCTGTCTCAGCCTCCTGAGTGCTGGGATTACAGGGGTGTGCCACCACACCTGGCAAAGAGATATTTATAAGAAAATGTGTTCAAGAAAATTAGGCATAACCTCAGTTTCAGGGAATGACATCATACTTTAAATGCATCAGAAGGAATCTCATAGTATTCTTTTGTAAAATATCATTTTAAGCAATAAATTTGAGAGGTTCAGTTAGACCTGAAAAGTTGCTTGAGTTCATCGTAGGCACTTGGTGGTATAAAATATTTTTTATTACATATATTATCAGATGATACACTTATCATGCACTGTCCTTGCGTCCCACTTCTTAAACACAAGCTTTTACCTTTGACCTGTATAATGTTAACATTTCATTGTTCATTCCAAGTGGTTCTGTTGTCACAAAATAGAAGTCTATCCCAAAGCAATTAGATAAAACAAAGACATGCATTTAAAAGAGACATGGACGGCAAGATTGTTGCAATATTAAATCTTTATGTAACTTATTAACATTCACACTAAGTAATATCAAATATGACAAACTGATTTTAATTTTTCCCCAAGAATTTTGTTCCTCACACTGTATAACAATTCTGTGATAGACTCATGGCTCCCAAACTGTACCAACAAGACACCCCAGGGTGGCACAATAACAAGTCCACGGGCAACATAGAATTTAATTTTCAATGGCAACACTCATACTAACAGCTGTTGGAAATCACGTAAACTCCTACTATAAAGTAGATCAGGGTTTCAACCTTAGACTGTTATCCTTTGAATAATATCCTGTCTTTACAAAGCTGAGTTTTCTGCCGTTGCTGTGATGAAAAGCAGGTACTGTGTGAACATAACGTGGAACAGATGAATAGGGCGCTGCACAACTGAGCCCAAGGTCTGGGACGTTGTGCAGCACCCTGCACAGTCGTGCATCGCATTAGCAAGTAAGTGGGAACATTTTTTAAAGAAAATTAAGATGTCATTTTTTCTTTAAAAAAGAAAAACAGTTTCTGGCTCTTAAGAGGTTCTTAATGAGAATTTATTTGTTAAATGAACGTGCATTTTGAAGAAATTAAAGACTGATTTTAACATATTAACCTATTATCCTGACAAATATTAACAAATGGAGCATCAGAAATAGGTTAGAAAAAAGTATGTTCCGGTGGATATAGTGCATGACATATATAATGTCTGTTACAGATTGTACACTTGACATATAAATACATCTCCTAAATATGGATAAAGTAGTATTCGTTCAAAAACACAAGTCATCCATAGCAAGCAAGGCGTGTCCTAGCTGGTTCTGGGTCAGCACTGAGACAGAAACAACCATCACGCGCTTGCATCGCCTGCAGGTCTTCCGGCGCCATACTGGGTTCAATGTTCCTGTCCCATATCGGCAGGGGCGGAGGTGCAGTTTAAAGGGGCGCTGGGAGGCTAAGACCACTCCAATCTGTAATTAATGAGGACACCAATTTAGGGTTTAGGCAATTCTTTCTTCTCTTTTGTTGCACGTCCACCTGATGTGTGGCTCTCTCTCTTCAGATCTGACGCTGTCCTTCTGCGTGAAGAGCCGCTGCAGGAGGAGTGCATACGCGACCCTGCAGGAAGCCGCGCGGAGGCGGCTCTGGGAGCTGGAGAGCGAGGACCAGGACGCGCGCGCGCTGTTCAAGGTGAGCAGAGGCCGCACCGACCTGTGTCCCTCCGCTGCAGGGTCCCCAGCACCTAGGACAGCGCCGGAACAAAGTAGGCCCTGAAGAAGACGTCGGGTTCACAGACGAGTGAACGAGCAGTTCTGTACACATTGTCTGAGCGAATATGCACAATTCTCTGCTTAACAGGAATGAGCAGAAATTTCCATAGGACAGCCTGGCGTTGCTGAGTTAGAGAAAACTTGGTTTCTTGTATGGCCTTAGGCAGGTTATTTAAATTCTGTAGAATGGGAATGGTTGTAACAACTACAATATCATTATATATTTTTTTCAGTGTGGTACATTTGAATTTTATTCTTGCTAGTGTGATATGATATATATAAAAATTTCCATCGTAATCATGTCTGAATGTATAACTGGCTTATGACATTTTATGCACTCACAACTTACTCATCTCCAGAACTTTTTATCATCCAAAATTGAATTTCTGTACTCATTAAAAATAATTCTTCACTATCCTGTCCTTCCCAAGTCTTGGTAGCCACTAAATGTATGTATTTAAAGTAACAAACTTGCCAGTCAAACCCCAATAACCATAAATACTAGGATGAGAGCAAATTGCAGTAAACTAAGCAAACCAGTTCATTTTTCACAGTGGGTGGGTAGTATCTAATTATTAAACCACCATTGGTCTGACGAAAAGGTCTGACCAAATCATTTATCGCTTAAGAAGTGCTAACTAGGAGAAATAAAGTCAGAAATGGATAAAATTTATTTCAACTAGTTCTGGGAGAAGGAGAATATTGCTTTACACAAAAATTAGTTTTCTAGTTATTTTTTAATGCATTAATCTTGCACAAAATGAAAAGAAAAGTGCTTTGTTATATAGCAAAAGAGACAGTGTCTGGTTTTTCAGGAGAAAATGAGGTCATATCTGTAGAGAGTTTGGTAATTGAGCTTTGGTGGTGGTATATACTCTGTAAATAGTAGCTAAGGGATTTCAATTTTTATTTTATATTATATTTTGATACCTGGAATCCAGGAAGTTGGAGACCAGTGTTTCTAAGCTGTGAATTAATGCAATAGATTTCCCTTTAATTTGAGTCACTTTTGCTCTGGGCAGGAGCAGGGCCTGCTGGCCAAAGCTTAAGCTGGATAAGCTGAGGGACTGAAGCTGAGGCCTGGAGCCAGCTGGAACTGAGATTTTACTAGGGATCTCACTGCATCTTATCCATTGCAGTGATCTTTGGCAAGTTATTTTACCTCTCAGTGTCCTTGTCTCTTTGAATATAAAACTGGGGTAATGCCTGCCATTGATTATAGTGAATCATTATTTTATGTACCTGCAAGGGAAAATAAATGTTGTTTGATATGTATTTTTGCCATGCTTATCTTTTTTTTTTCAGATGCAGTTAGAAGTTTAAAAAGCACATCTTAGAATGGATTAAGCACTATAATTGCATTTTCTAGGGTTATCGTGGGAGTTAAATGAGGATTGTTCATAAAACTCTTGGTGAAGTGTCTGGCATGCAGTACATTCTCTCTAAGTCATGTTTTACCTGGTACCCCTTCCTTGATTACAGGATCTTTTATTCTCTGACAGAATCTGGGGTCTCTTGGGGTATGGTATAGAGGGACAACAGAGTCTGAATTCGCTGAACTAGGTCTTCTTCTTTTGGATCCTCTATTCCTTCCTTCTTCCCCTGAGGTTCCCTAAAGATAACAGAACCTGGCCTAGGTGAGGTCACTAGTTATAGTTAACTTCATTGACTTGGGCAACCGACAGAGAAAGACTTAGAGAAAACAAAGTCTAGTCAGTGATTCAGATCTCCCTTTCCCCCAGATGTTAAAAAACAAGAAGTTTGCAGACCCCCTCTTGCTCTGTTTGCAAGCATGTAAACTGGAACCGTCTTTCAGGAGGGCAATGGGTGCCTGCATTTTGGGATGGCCAATGTGCGTTCCCTTGCCTTCCCAGTGCACTTCTTAGGATGACTTGTGTCAAAATAATGAAGAATGTGCACAAAGATTAGCTATAAGGATGTTTATCCCAATACTATTTAGGATATTAAAAATGTAAAATTATCCAAATGTGAAATCACAAGGAAATGATAAGAATTAATTGCCTTAGTGCAACAATGGCATATGTAACAACTCAACATAATGTAGACACTTAATCTTATGGGAGATGGTTCACAACATATCATTTAGTGGCAAAAGAAGATTGAAATGCAAAAGCAATTTATGTATTATGCCTCTGTTTATATAAAATACTTATATGGAAACTTGTGTAGCAAAAAGATTCATTGTAATACACAAGGTTGTTAACATTAATGAGCTCCAGGAGGAGGGGTTATGGATGATTTTTATTTTATGTGCTTTGGTTTTCTGTTTGTCAGCTTTATAAACATACTCATTAGACATAATGTGCTTCCAAGATTCCTTCTACTTCCATCCTCTACTCTCCCACATACATTTTTTTTTTTTTACATAAAAGGCAGCATTCTCTGCACACTGTTCTGTGCCCTGGTCTCTTTTTGTTGCTACTGTAGTTCTATTTAGCAGTGTATATTTAGAATCTGCATCAGTCCACAGCAAGCTTCATTATTCTTTTTTAAGACTGCATAATGTCATAATATTCCACTGCATGGATGAGCCAGGTTCTATTCCAACTAATTTCCTATTGATTAATATTTAGTTTGTTTCCATTAGCTTTTGTGGATGCTTAAATCAATGCCACAATCAAGAAGTTCTTTCAATTTAATTCAGTAATTTAGTTCATAGGTGAGCTTGTTAAAAGGACACTTCTCTCATCCCAGGCTGACTCATTGCTCTCTTTATTCAGGATCTCTCTGCAAGGTTGGTGAGTATCCAGTCCCAGAGGGCCCAGTTCCTGATCACTTTCAAGACCGTGGAGGAAATCTGGAGGTTCTCCACCTACCTAAATTTAGGTATGACCTGGAGCAGGCAGGTGGAGGAGGACTCACTTCACACTTCAGTCAGTTCATTGGGTTTGATATTAAAGAACTTGTCTGACTCTGACAATTAAAAGAAATAGAGCCCTACAGTGGATAGGTAACTTTTGAAATATCACCAACTTCCTGACACTAAGCCTGAGGCAAATATTAACTATTATTCTAAAATGTCATGTGAAGAAATTTGCTTCCCCAAGTCTAAGGGGACCTTGATTTATTAGATAACCAATCAACTGGCAATCAAGTCATCTACTAAATTGGAAGTAGGGATATAGATATGAAATTGACTTAAAAAAAAAAAAGGAAAGTCATCTTGAGAAAGTAGCCCCTCAGAAGGTTAAAGTTCTAGGTGCTTTATCCCAGATATTTGGAAAAGAATCAAAGAAAGAGTTGGGGGTAGTTATCTGCTAAAGTTATCAGCATCCTCATTTTAATAAGATCCACAGATATGCACATTGAAGCTTAAGAAGTACAATTAGGAAGAATACAGGCAGTCAGAATGGAAAGAGGAAGGTTTTCACATCATGAGAAAGAAAGGAAGGCTCAGAAGAAGCAAAATTTTAATATAAACAATTCATATTTAGAGGCATGTTGAGGTACTATATTTAATTATTCAAATTTTGCAATTCACATAGACTTTAGTCTGCTTTTGACATGGCAGAGCTTTCTGACCATTTGATGAGGGGTCAGGTCAGAGTGGGGGGCTGATGTGGAGCCTGACTCTGAGGACTCTGTGGACCATGGAGAACCTTCTCAGTCACTGCATCATCTGGGGCACAGAGATTTGAACTCAGGATAGAACTTGAAGGAGAGAACAGAAATCCTAAAGTCAATGTTATTTGAAGACCTTGATGGTTGTATTAGAAAAAGATAATTGGGTTTGGTAATCCATTACATATTTACAGCGACCACAATATGATGATAATGGTAAATATTATTTGTATACAATTGTATTTCCCCCAAAATCTGAGAAGCATCCATTCATTCTAGTAAGTTTCTAGCTAGCCCTCTCCTACTGTTTAATTCCAGTAAAATGGCAGATCAGGGAGGGTTCTGGGCATCAAGTTCAGAAGGGAACTAGTTCACTCTCTTTTGTGGTCAGCTAAAGGAAAAACTCATCTTTAGGAATTTTGTTGACTTCTAGGCTATGTGTCCACGTGTCTGGAGTACCTCCTCTTTGACCACAAGTACTGGCTCAACTGCAGATTGGTGGAGGACACAGAGATCCAAGTGTCTGTGGATGACAATCACCTGGAAACCATATACTTGGGCCTCCTAATACAGGAAGGTTAGCATGGCAGAGGGTTGGGATGGAGTCCCATCCACACATTTGTTATAGAGTCCCTGAAATAATCAGGATTCCAAGAGAGGCAAATGTCATTCAAACATGAAAACATTTCAAAGGAACCCACCTGTAATAACAGTACTTTAACATCCTTCTCAGTTTAATCCTGGCATCCCATGAACAGTTATGTTGGTCAGTCTCAGTGCTTGGGATTTTAAAAACATGCTTATGTCAGGGCACTTCCTAGGCCAATTAATTTCCTACAGGTGGGGCTTTGGCACTGGCTTTAAAATAGAAAGTTTCCCATGTTAGTCTTTTGCTATTTGAGATTGAGACACACCTAAACATGTGGTATAATTTGACTGTAAAATAAGCTACAAATCTTGCATTAAATTGAATCGTGAAACTGATAAAGGTGAATCTGAAGAAGCTCTTGAAGCCACCTCTGATCTTTGCACAGGGGAAGATGCCATCAGACTAACATATGGTCAAGTCCAGTGACTTAACAGACACTTTAAAAGAGCCAAATTTGCATATCTTTGTAAAAATGATTCTCTGCATGATTGCATCGTGCCAATCATATAGAAAGGAAAGAATTATGTGTGCTATTCTAAGACTTGAAGTCATTCAATTCCTCTAAAGCAACTTAATTTATTCTTTGGTGGCTCTAAGATGAAGTGTGAGGTTGCAATTATAACCAAGGTTCTGTTAAATGCAAATCTCTTTTTGTAGGTTTTTAGTTCATCTCTTTTTCTAAGGTAAAGTCTCATTTAAGCCTTATCCTCACAAGTTGCTCAGAAATGCTGGTGTCTGCCTTAAGTGAATTCCCTCTCAGTGGCTTTTTTCCTGTCAGTTTTCTGAGGATCACAAGGACCTCTCATGACTGTCTCTGGCCTGTGTACTTTACTCTCAGGATTGAAATGTTACCTTGTATGATAATTCCTGTTCATTTCCTGCTACTCCTTGGAAAGGGCTTTTCTTGTCCTCTACAGGTCACTTCTTCTGCAGAGCCCTGTGCTCTGTGGTTCCATCAGCTGAGAAAGAAGGGGAGTGTTTGACACTTTGCAAGAACGAATTAATCTCCGTGAAGCTCTGGGAAGGCGAATCTGAGTGGGAAGGCATGTCCTTAGTGACGGGTCAGCGAGGCCTGGTGCCTGTGTCAGCCCTGGAGCCTCTGCCTGTTCCTTTCCATCAGTGAGTAGCCACCTACTTCCTGGGAGAGGGTCCCAGAACAGACTGAGGCCTGCGCAGCACACAGTAGGGATGCTTTCAGATATGGGTACACAGGTGCCTGGAAGACAACAAAATCCGGGTGGCTTTTTATCTCTTGTCATTTTTTTAAACCAGGATTTGCACAATTTGACAAAATTTGAAACAACTCTAAATTTCAGCTGGTCACTTTATCTCGAACTACAGACTGGAGGCTGCGTGTATTGGCATCACCTGGGGATTTTACTACAAATTCAACCCCCCTGGTCCTCCTCAGACTCTCAGAGGGTTGGGCTCAGGAATCTGCATTTTGTTATTTATTTTTACTTTTTTATGTTTTTGATTATTTGAGACAGGGTCTCACTGTGTAGCCCAGGTTGGCCTGGAGCTTATGATCTTCCTGCCTCAGTCCCCTGAGTGCTGGGGTTACTGGCATGACCATCGTGCAGGCTAGGAGGGCTAAGAATCTGCGTTTTGAATAAAATTCCCAAGGGATGTTTTTTACACTAAAGTTTGAGAATCCCTGCTGAAAGACATTAAACTCAAACATATAGAGTGACAATAAAGATTTTCCCATGCTATGAATCCTGCCTTGGCTCTGGCAGTGAATCTGACAGTGAGAACCTAAAGGAATTCTTTGTTAGTTATTTAACTGACAAAGTAATTAGAGAGCCAGAAAACTCTCCAGGTCCTCTGGACTTCTCTCCTTTTTACACTGCCTGGGATGAAGTAAGTTCTCAGTAAATGTTTGACATCCTGAAAATAGGATAAATAACAGCACTTGTTACTATTAACATGTGTCTCTAACGGACTATTCTGCTCATTGTTCTAATCTTTTGAAATCCCTGTCTGCAAACCCCATGTTTCTGTGGGCAGATGGTTCCTGAAGAATTATCCAGGAAGCTGTGACCTTTCCAGGAAGAAGGATTGGACAGGCTCTTATCAGATTGGTATGGCTGAATTGAAAACATAATATTGCTGGGGAGATGATGTCCTGCTTCCTAATTTCATCTGCAGGTTTGGAATTAGTCCATGTGAATTCCTGCCTTGCTTCTGTTTCTGTCCACACATGTGGGTTTCCTTGGCTGGAAGTAAGAGGTCTTAATCCAGGACGGCAAATAGGAATCCTACAGGAGCAGGCAGGACACACAGGTGCAGAGGGCTCAGATGGAAGGTGTTAGGGAACTGCAAGGATGATAGGAATTTAAAGATATATGTGTGGGAAAAAAAAACCAAAAAACAAAACCATGCCGTGGGCCAATATTTTGTGAGCCAAATGTGGGCCTACAGGCTGCCTGTTTTCTGGCCAAAACATTTTTCAATTTCCCTTAGAATTACATGAAATTAACCTTGAATTTAGGAAGAATATGAATGCCTGGCACATAGTAAGCACTCAGTAAATGTTGAATAAATGAGTGAAATACACAATACATATATTTGTATCTGCCTCTGCATATATTTTAGGAAATCTCTGTCTATGCATGTACACACATCTGTAAGTATATCATCTTTCTATATCCCCTTACCACACATCCATAGCAAAAAAAAAAAACTGGAAAGAGTTATGAAACTCAGACATTAGAAGTGATCAGTAACTGACCATAAATAAGATTTTTAGCATTATGAGACAATACAGCCTTTCAGTTAAGACTACAGGACTTTCCTATGTTCTGGGTTCAAATTCTGGTTCCACAATTTAAAACCAGTGTGCTCTTGGCCAATACTTTCTCATTAGTAAAATGAAACAGTATGACCAACTTCAATGTTGTCAAGAGAACCAAACAAAATGACATCTGTAAATCATTTAGTTCTGTCTCTCCCACTGTGGAGTCTAACACATGGTAGCTCCAGTTATCCCATAATGTAGAGGGAATTTCTGATTTTAAAGACATAATCAACAGAAACTTGGCCAAAAATGTCAAAAAAAAATGTTGGGCCAGTTGCATTTGCAGAGGAACAAAAATGAATATGGATAGCGAGACACATAAACGCCATTATCTCCACCAGAGCAGGATTAATAGGCAGAGAGGTAGTCAGGAGACTTGATTCTAGACCCAGTTTCAGACTTAACGTTGCTTCCACTTTTTTATTTAGGAAAAGGAGATTCAAATGAATTTCCTGCCTGCTATTTAGGGCTCTTGGGAAGAGCTAAGAAAATGGACAGAAATGTGCTTTGTAAACTTGACAGTACAGTGTTTAATAAAGCATCATTATTAGATATTAATAGTACAATTTTTCAAATTGAATAGCTGCCATAGTCAGAAAGAGAGTCCTCTATGTCACCAGCAGTGTTCTATCCCAGCAGTGATAATTAGTGAGGTTAGCATCCGTTAAGGGTTGACGAGGTGCCAGGTATTGTGCATTTTATCTCTTTGACTCTTTCTAATATTTATAAGCACTGAGTATCTTATTATCCCACTTGACAGTGGGGAAGACTGAAGTTCACTGTGGCCAAATCAGCTGAAAGGACATGTAGAGATATCCAGGTATAAAGATTCTCACATGGTGGTCTGCAGATTTGTAACAAAGTCACACAGCAGTGACAAAATCAAACAAAGTCAACATAGATAGCGTTTCAGTTTTTCATGAGCTACATTTATTCAGTTTTGAGGCATATCCAATATTCTGAAAATACCGTTTTTTAGTACTGGAGTCTGAACGCAGGGCCGCAGGCTGGCTAGGCAGGTCTCTACCGCTTGAGCAATACTCCCAGCCTTCTTAGGTTTGTTAAATCATCTTTTCTTTTATACAAGAAAGTGAATTGTAGTTTCTTTTTTTTTTTTTTGAATATTCTAGTTTGGCAAAATGGTAAGCCAGTTATCCTCTGTCATTCCTGCCAGTATTTACTTACTTTTTATGGAATGGAGGGAATTTTACTTGTCTTTAAAATTCTTAACTCTGGGATCCCCTAATCCAACGCTGGTGGGTAAAGGAAGGCTCAGCCGTTTCTACCTTTCTTAGTAGGCCGTGTGCTGTTTCCATAGGCAGAGGAAGATGCAAGGCTGTGAAGGATTACCAACAGAAGGAAAAGGGAGAATTGAACTTCCTCCAAGGAGAGAGCTTCGAGATCATTGGCTTCGTCATACCTGGGCTTCAGTGGTTCATTGGGAAGTCAGTGAGCTCGGGAGAAGTGGGCTTTGTCCCCACTAGGAGCATAGACCCTGATTCTTATTCCCCGATGTGAGTATGACCGTGAGTAAGCCCCGGAACTGGCTGGCTGTCTTTCCCAGTGTTTTGGTTCCCTTTCCTAGAAGGGCACCAGCAGTGTCTTAGTGAGGTAGAGGCAGAGATGCACATTCTGGTTGAAGAATGTGCTAGGAAGGAGGGTTAGTGATACAGGAGACAGCTCAGTTCATTTCACTAAGCTGCCCTCTGTGTTAGGAGAGAAGCAGAGCCACAAGACAAAGGGCCTGCTGTTAGGATCCACCCTATCCAACCAAGAAACCCCTTCAGGACATGGACACAGAAGCATGGTAATCACCAGCTTGGTCAGTAGACATTCCCTTCCTGTGTAGGTCTGGGAGGTAGAACCCAAAGAGGTCTTCACACATTTTGTTCAGGTTAAAATCTGAATGTATTCAAGTCAGCATTGGCTAGAAGAGCAGGGAGCGTCTTTTATTCTTTCTGCCTTGAATCCAAAAGGGCTGGTTCTGAGGAGCAGACCCAACTGCCTTACCAATTGGCAGCAGGTGGTTAGCCTGCTCTGTCCCCTTTGTCATGGGGGTGGAGACAGAGATGACAGTATTGTCCAGTGTCTCTGGAGTGGGCTTCTTACAGGGTAGGAGCAAACAGTAGGAAGCCTGCTCTGGGAAGTACAAGGGGAATCGGAGAGCTGCCTCCTCACATTAAGACAATGAGGCTACATTTTTCGCACTGGGAAAACATGGCCCAAGGACTGTCCCAGGCTTTCAATATTCAGGCTGGAATTTCCTCTCTCCTGGGAAAGAGCCATAAAGAGAGTGGATCAAGGGCAGATGCTTCCTCTATGCCTTGTCCTTTGTAGTGACAGAAGACAGAAGGCCATTTTCTCTGTGCAGAAATATGGAACCCAAATCACACAAACAAGGAAGATCACTTGTTAAGCTCCTGGAGAGGTGTGGAGGGCTCTCAGGACTTATAAGGAGAACAAGGGTATTAAGAAAACTTTCACAAGAAGGATGATGTCTGAGTTAAGCTTTGCATCATCTAAGATATTTTAACAGAAGTAAGGGAGACGCTTGAGGAACAACTTCTGTTCCCCAGGGAATAGGTCACTGGTGTGGCAAAGGTTCTGCCATCCCTGATGTGGAAAATGGGGAGGCCTGTGCAGGGCCATCCTTCACTTTGCAGAGGTGGGGGAGCCACTGAATGTCTGTGTGCAAACTGAAGGTGATGAGTGGAACTCTTGTCTAGGAAGTTAAACCTGGCTTTGGGTGAAGTGTGCATTGGTGGGGGACAAGGAGGCAGGAGACCAGTAAGAAAGTTGAGGCCATCACATAGGAGGAGTGGTGGGAATGGAGAGGAGAGGCCACTGCTGAGGAGAGGCCAACAGGAAGTTAAGGATTCTGGGAGCTTTGCAAATATGGACACCTGTTTTCTGCTCTTATTTAATTGGTTGGAAGGGGCCTGGATTTGATATTTATGAAGGTTCCCAGGTAGGGGCTAGTGGAGAGCCAAGGTGAAAATCATTGCTGTAAACAACTTCCTTGCTTTACAGCAGGGGCCTGTCGGGCCACCAGGAATGAAGTGACCAAATCCAAGACCTTGGGTCCTGAGTCCTGGAGTCCTGATGTTAAGTGCATGAGTCCTACAACCAAGGTTCTGGTGAAAGAAAGAGAATAAAAAGAGCAGAGACTTAGTGGGGAAGAACTATTTCTAGAGCAGCAGAAGAAAGGAGGCAGAGGAAGATAGAGGACCCCACTGAAAGAAAGGAAGGGACCATGGAGGAGGAGGGAGGATAACTAACTCTTTTGTTGGCCTCAGTAGGTAAAGTAGGGCTGACTGAGGAAAGGTCTTTGGGATTGACCATCAGGAGGTAATTTGGAGGCAACATAACTTAATGATTTGCAGAGTTCCAAGTTAGACTCTACCAAAGGCATCTATAGTCACGTGAGTGCTCCCTATCTCTATCAGCTTGTCAGCTCTGTGATTGTATATATTGAGTGCTCTCTTTTTCTTGGTTTTCTTATCTATAAAATGTACATATTGTTAGACTTGCCTAATAGGACTGTCATGAGTTTAAATGAACTAATACATGTAAAGCATGTAGACTGGTGCCTGGCACAGTATGTGCCTGTGATCAATATGCATTGCTCTTATTACTGTGTTCTTGTCACTGTTCATTGTAATCTTTGAGAGTTGGTCTTAATAGGATATTGGAGGTAGGTGTTAGAGATCTTAAGTTATATTTGGGCTTCTGCACCTCACACCTTGCCCCAAATGACAACACAGTACCACACCATTAACTTAGTTGTCACATTAGTTGTAAGGGCTACACTCTCTCACTACAGAACAGCATCTGCCATATCACAGGAGATGACAATACCACTTTTCCTCATCCACAATGTCATCCACTGGCCTACAGCTGGTCACCCATGAGACCCAATGCACCAGTTTGCACATTTGATAGAGAAGGGGAAGGAGAGCCAGGAACCAGGCACAGTGGAAGGAGAGAGGGGAACTGGATCTTTGTACACTGAAGCATTCTCTGGATTGCAGATGTTCCTGAACCATTGCACCTGAAGGGTGGGTTTTGAGTTCAGTGGAGTGACAGCCAAGCAACTGGCCTCAGCAGGGTGCTGAGTTCCCCTGGGTGTCATCCCTGTGTATTATGCCTGTGACTGCCACTGGGTGTCAGTCTCAGCCTGTGTTCATTGGCGTGGGTTTTCTGAGGAAGGGCTGAGCATTTTCTGACTCTCTATCCTCTTCCTGCAGGTCTCCTCCTGGTGTTGGTGTAGTCTTTTATGAAGTGCGTGAGTCTGAGTGAGTGTATGTGTGTGTTTGTGTGTGTGAATGTGTGTGAGAGAGTTTGTGTATGGTCAGAGAGAGAGTGTGTGTGTATCAGATCAGCAGTATTCAGAATGGAATTTCTCTAGATGCTGTTTCTGTATCTTATCTAGCTGGTCCCTTGTACACATGACAAAAGTCTCTATGGAAGCAAATACGTGGGTTTCCTTTTTCTTACAGCACAGCTTTTACACCAGCCATTTCGTTTCACAGGAATAGCAGCTGGAAACCCAGTTTTAAAAACTTGCAGTAAGGCAAGCACTTTGCCCAAATAGACAGATGTAGTATTTGGGTTTCACCAGGGTGACTTTGGGGATCTCAGGGCTTTTGAGGGTAGCAGAATACCATAAATACTTGAAAAGTGTGTGTGTGTTTGTTTGTGTGTGTGTGCATGTTTAAGATGCTTTTTCATCTCTTCTTACTTTCATCTCTTGAGTTTAAGTCCCACTCCAGAGACAGCTGTTTCAACTTCATATGCATTTTTCCAGCCCTTATTCTGATACATTGTAAGCAGAGGTAATTTTTTATGAGCAAAAATGCTATAAGTTTACCTATTTAAAATTTTATATAATTTTTCCTGAAACTTGTCTCTTTTCAGTTAACATTGCAAATCTGGGATTTATTCACATTATGAGAGATGACATTCTTTTTTTAATCTTCTCTTTATTTTTATTATCACTTTATTATTCTTGGTACATTGTGGCATTTACAAAAGTGATTATAATATATGTAGTTAAATTTACCCCCTCCATCATTCTCCTTTGTCCCTCCCTTTTTAGAATAGTTTCAGCAGGTCTCATTTTTCCATTTCATACATGAGTACATAATATTTCCACTCTATTCACCCTCCTACATCCTTTCCTTATATCCTTACCTCTTACGCCAGTAACAACCCCCAGACAGGACCTGTTTTACCTTCCTAGCCTCCATTTTTGAAAAAAGATGTTTTTTGCTTAAGATATTTGCACAGGGAGTTTCATTATGTTATTTCCATGTATATATGTATTATATCCTGAATTGGATCATCCCCTCCATTTTTCTCCTTTTAAATGACACCCATTTTAACAAAGTGTTACTTAAAGGAAATTTATGCTCTTAGATGCCTAAACCAAAAAGAAGTAAGATTATAAGTCAGTACCATGGTATGTCTAGATACTTTATTATGTATCTGTATCAAGTTATAAACTTACGTCTTCAAAAAAGTACATTTTTATCAATTATTTTGCCACAGTTCTGTGAGTTGTAAATGTCTTGCTTGTATTAAATGCTTAAAAATATACTTATGCATGATAATTTAGCTAGATATAGAAAGGGATCTTTAAAGTATGGGAAGAGAAGTTACTATTAATATAAAATTGCAAGTCCGTTGTGCCAGGGTTTTGTCAGTCTTATTAGTGTTTCAGAGAATCAATTTTTCTTTATTTTTTTTTAGCACACTGGAGTTTGAACTCAGGGTCTCACGCCTGATAGGCAGGCGCTCTATCACTTGAATCACTCTTCCAGTCCCAATTTTTCTTTTCTTAACCACCCTTGTTTTCAGTCATTAATTTACAATATTTGCCTTGATTATTTTCTTCTTCTTTCTTAGTTTTTATTTCATTAGTTTATGTTCTTATCATTTAGATTTAATTCTTTCATTCCATGAAATTGAACAGCTTAATAATTGATTATTGGACTCAGAAATAAGAATTAGGAAAGATAGGCAACTCTGAAAGAGCTATAGCTTTAAAGAAATGGACAACCTGTTAAGAGTGATATTATTTTTATTTATTTTACTCAGGACTTGGTGTGTGCTTCTTCACTCTGAAGACTCATATCTTACTTCAGTTCTGGAAAAATCTCAGTCATTCTTCCTTTGAATATTGCCTCTTTCTCAATCTTTAATCTCTCTTCTGGAATTCCTGATAGAGGTATGTTGGATTCATTCTATCTTCAATCTCGCTAAATCAGTTCTTTTATATTGGCCATCTTTTTTGTCACTCTAGGCCATATGATGAACGACTTCCTCAGAATGGCCTTCATTTTCACTAATTCTCTCCTCTGCTATGACTAAACTTGCTGTCCAAAATTTCCATGCTTTTATGTTCCATTTTTGGATTTTTGTTTTTTCCTATTTTTCACATATGGGTTGTTTCTGCTTACAGTGTTCCATCCTTTCATTGTAGCTTCTATCAGTATTTTTATTTCATCATTTTAACCATGCTTATCATAAATTATTCTTCAGATTATTGTTATTTTTAGTTTATTTGTTTGGTCATCTTATAGATTTGTTTGTGGGTAGTTCATTTTCTTCATTTGCATTTCTTGGTTTGTGTTTTTTATTATGTGAAATAATTTTCAACATTTTAAAGATGAACTTTGCATAGGTCCTGCACTAGAGAAAACTCCCTGCAGAATAAGTTTTGCATTTGCTTCTCCTGAAACCTTAGGACCCATACTCCAGCCCTGAATGTGATGCTTATATCATGCAGTGCAAATTAAATCCCACACCTTCAAATGGTGTATGACTTGGTGTTTGATTTTTTTCCCCCCAGGAACTCAGATAAATAAAAAGTATGTTCTTGGTAGGCAGTAAGAAGTTTTGCCATCACCTCTTTTAGGAAGCTAATGCCCTTCTAGACCCCAGGTATTATGAAGGGAGCTTAATTCAGTTCCCTACAACACACAGGTTCAAGGTCACATCTCCTGTTCCTGTAGGGCATCAAAAGGTTAGCCCCAGTTCTGAGGGTTAATGTGCCAGCTCAAACCACCAGGGTCTCTGGCCCATCCACTTTCATCTACCAATCTGAATTTGGTTTCTCCTTTTATTTCTGTATCCCAGAGATTTCCCTTTCTCTCTTTAAAGTTTAAGCACATGTTAAAATATTTGCCTTTGTTATGTGGTGTCCAGAATTTGTGTGTGAGGGGAAGAGTAGCCTTGTAGAATATTTCAACCTGCCAGAACTTTTGCCATGCTCTTCTAACCCATGTCTCATATTTGGAAATCCATAGTATAGTTTGTCAAATTTCTTGAACTGTTTCTAAACACTGGAAAGTCAGGATATTAGCAATTCAGCTCTGCAATGGTCACAAGGGTCCAATACCTCAATTTTAGACTCAGCTTCACCACTTTCTAGCTGTGCAGTTCTGAACATAGCACTGAACCTTTCTGAACTATTTTCTTCATCTAAAAACATGGATTAAAATAAACCTATATCATAAATGGGAAAGAATAATAAATGAAGTAATAAATTTCAGAATACTATTTAAAATTAAGGGTTTTACAAAGGGATCATATATGTATATATACTATTTGAATATATATGTGGATTTAGTTGTGGATTTCAAGAACATTCTGCTTTATGACTGGAAACTTTCATGGTATTGGGTAGAGTCTGGAGATCAGGCCAAAGAGATGGAGGCCATATGTGGTGGAAGAGCCCTGGGCCAGATGTAGGTCACAATTTAAGTGCCAGTTTTGTCACAACTGTGTGGTGTGACTTGAGCAGCTCATATGGTAGATAGTTTCCTCAGTGCTGGCTTTCTAACTGTTTTTACCTGAGATGTGGGGACAGATGGTTGACCATAGCAGTCTTCCTGGCCACTCCATGGACCCTGCTATAACTAGAGAAGCTCTTTTATTTCTTGTTTTACCACTTCACAAACACCAGCTGCATTTTTCTGGTCTCAGTTTCTTCATCTTAAAGAGAGGGTAAAAATGGTACCTGTCACATAGGGCAATTATGGGGATTAAATGAAATCATAGTGTGGGATTCATTATAAACCCTCCAAAGCTATTGGCGGTTATTAGGCTTACAAGGTAATTTTGTTTTGAAAATGAGTTCTGAGGTTAAAAACTTCTGTTTAGAACTGAAAGTGACCTTAAAACTTGTTGAGCTAGCTACTGGACTGAATGCTTTCTAAGGCATTTCCAGATTTCAATTTATGACTTCCTAACAAATCTGTAGTAAGAAAATGAGTCCTAACAATTAAGTTGCACAAAGAGTGAGTACAAAGATTTCTTTTGTTTATAATCATGTCTTCCAGCTCCCAACCTTCTCTCCACCACTCTCTTTTGATGTCACAGAATGCAGTTGTTCTGTGTGTCCTGGAATCAAATCTCGACCACAGTGAATTTTTCCTTCCAAACACAGTAAAACTTTCACTGATCCTCTAGATTTTGCCACTTGTCCCCAATTTTTTCCTGAACTAACCCAAGGACAAAGAAACTTCTTAAATGATTTCTTTTTAAAAATTATTATTATACTGGGGGGTACATTGTGACATTTACAAAAGTTCTTATAATATGTTGTAGTAGAATTCACCCCTCCATCATTCTTATTCCTCCTCCCCCCATTCCTGGAATAGTTTCAAAAGGTCTTATTTTTCCATTTTCATACATGAGTACATAATATTTTCACCATATTCACCTTCCTACACCCTTTCCTTATATCCTCCCCCTCCTACTGCTACCAACCCTAAGACAGGACCTGTTTTACCTTCCTGTTCTTTGTTTTTGAAAAAAAAAAAAGACATTTTTGTTCATTTAAGATAGCTATACAGGGTGTTTCTTTGTAACATCCTCATGTATATATGTGTGTTATAACCTGAATTAGTTCATCCCCTCTATTGTTTTCCTTTCAACCTTAGTCCCCTTCTTATAGTGATTTCAACAGGTTTAAAAATTCTGTATTCATTCTTGTATAGGAAATACATCAATCAATCCTTACATTTGTTTGTTTTCAATCCTTACATTTAAGGCAACCAATTTCTACTTCTCCCATTAAAAATGGGAATCAAGAATGGGTGTAGGTTGAGGAGAGGGCTGTGTTTCTCTCAGGAAATGTAGTTTTAGTACGAAGTGTTTTTCAATGTCCACTTTGACCTACTTAACCACCATACAGCTTTGCTTTCCATTCATGAGGTGCTAATAGCCTTCTTGCTCAGCAGTAAAAATGCTGTTTGCAATGGTGCAAAGTCTGAATCCAATTATGGGAAGATGGGTTGATGGATTTTTTAAGGTTTTCACTGCATCCTAGTGTGAAGAGAAGAAGATGGGGATTTGCCTTGCACTGACCTGTCTTTGTCTTTTGCTTCCCATGCAGGAGTAAGAACTCTGCTTTTTTCAGTGATGAGGAAAGATGCTCTCTCTGGACCCTGGGGAGTGATGGGAAGGCTGAGTGTGTTAACTTCCTCCGCAAGTTGGCACATACTGACATCACATCTGTCTACCGGCTTAGTGAGTGTTTGCTCCTCAGACCCCATTGAAAGCCCAGGATCCTAAAACCTAGGAGAAAATCCCTCATTAGGAATATCTCTAAATTCTAATCCCATACAGGAATTTGGGGTTGTGACCACTATTCAACTGATGACTGAGGTCAAATATTATTAGTACAGTTTCCCTTCAGATTTCAGATAATTCTGGGGTTGCACTTGCCATGCTGCCTAGCAACTATGAAAATGATGAAACCAAATCACCTATATCATGGTGGTTAACTGTATTGGTTCCATCCTAATCTTGGAAAGGAAGAACTTCCTGAATTGTGGCTAAAGTCCCTCCTTCTAGGACTGAAATTTATACCTAATAACAAAGGGACAACTGGAAGGGCCCTCAGAGATTATTTCTCCCCTCATTTTGCAAATTGGGAAACTGAGGCTCAAGTGAATTGGTGCCTGAGCCACAATAGGAACCACCCTCTTGTAACTTCTGGTCAGGACAGGATGTTTTACCACATGGCCCCAGACACAATATGACATCAGGCTACTGGGTGTCATCAGTCTTGTGGGGGCACTTGGTCTCTGCACTTAGCACAGTTTTTGGCAATGTCTGAATGATTGAGTGAATGAATGAATGAATGGCACTCATTTCCCTTATGGTGGGAAAGGCCCACTGCTCAGCGTCAGGAAGCACATTCACTCACTGATGACTTGAGGGAAACTCTTTTTCTCTCGTCTCTGTGATGGCATGGCTAATTAGCTGGACACATTTATGGGTACACCCAGAGATTCTGTATAGGGACCCTCAGACCAGCATCCAGGAATTGGAGGCTTTCTTTATGCACAAGAAGCCTTTGTGAAGAGCACCTACCCAGACATCATCACCCAGCCCTTGTCAGCCTTTCTCACCATAAGCAGATCACACTGGTCCATTAGGGTGAGCCAGGAAACTGAAGCCATAGGCACTGCTCTGTATGTGGGAGCAGAGATCTGAAAAAATCAAGGGCAGGCCTTGAGAGGGAGGTGGCATATTTGGATCAAAGATATCTGCCTCATGTTGATCCCTGTTGGAGGAGCCAAGAACAAGCTTCAGACAGCATGTTGCCTCTTGCTTAAAGACCAGGACTTAGCTCTGCTGTGTGCAGGCTGGGCCTTATGGTTGTGTAGGCTGCCTTGGCACCAAGGCAACCAACCAACCAACAGAGGGTCCTTCTTACGGTCAATTTCAGCTCTTCTAAAAAGGAGAGCTCCTCTGATCCTTCCCCCCACTTTGTAATTCACGTACCCTGTATGCTCTCGGTGTCCTGACCCTGAGGAAAATAGCTGTGGTAAGACTGGCACATGCCCCTCAATGTCAGAAGGGCCAGAAGAACTTTCCAGAGCCAAGCTGTTTATCTCTCTCATCTTTTTTTTGGTGGGATCTTCTACCTTTTACAAATTTCAGATTTGAGTATCTGCAATAACAAGCACAGAAGTCCTCCCCAGAGGACAGCAAAAAGAGGCTTGGCTGAAGACAGCCTGGTCTCAGAGTTCACTGCAGACACAGAATCAGGGCTCAGACAGATGTGTCTTCTCTGCCAGGAAGAGGTGGCATCTTTTCTCTAGTAGCCCCTGTCCCGTGGACTAGGAGCCTGGTCTTCACCTACGCAGCTCCATTGCAGGCTCTTTAGGGAAGAGAATGCATTTCTTCACTGCCAAAGCAATGTCTTCTTGTTTCTCACCTAGCCTCATTTCCCTTTTGTGACATTAGGTGACTGCATTTTAAGTCTCCTTGACCTCTATCACTCTCCCTTCTCTCTCTGCCTTGTCAGTCTCTTTCTGACAAGAAAGGCTGATGTTCTTCAGCCTCATTAACACATCCCCCTGTCCCTTCCTCTCTTCCTGCTTTACTTTCCTTCTAACTGCTTCACCTGTGTGATCACATTCAGTCCTGGGCTTTGGCCAGCTCCTTGTGACCTGCTTGTGACTCTATTTGCATAGTCTCTACTTTTCTCCCTGGCTCCAGACCTACTCCTTTCTCTACCTAGAGCTTTTGGAAGTAACACAAAGTCAGACTATCTAAAACTGCTCTCAAGACTCTCCCATCCACCACTTTGTCCCACCCAGTTACATCAGGGAACAAAACTGGGGGGTCCCAGGTGCATCTCTACTCTGTTTTCTTTACCATCCACTTCTGGCTCTTGGTCTTGCCACTTCTGTAAAGCAGTGTCCAGCACATTGTACACATTAAACCAATGTCCGTCAAGTGGATGGATGATGAATGAATGGAGGAATGAAGAAAAAAAGGATGCACTACACATGCTGAGGCAGTGCCATAGGCCACAAAGATCCCTACCCTTGGAGTTCTGTCCTGGATGTGTTGCATACTTGCTGAGAGATGTGGGCCTTGCAGCTCTCTGGCCTTCAGTTTTTATCATCATCTATCCCCACACCTCATAGTATAGAGTTCATTTCCAGATTTTTCTTCTCTGATTCTGGGTCTTACTTATACCTCAGTTCTCAACCGTAAAGTGTGTGGGTTAAACAGGATGACTGATCCAGGCAGCTCTTAAACTGATCCTGAAGAGGTTTCCTCAGAGCTCATGGCCTGGGCCCTGGAGGCTTTGGCAGAGTGACCTGTTCTGACCTAATACCAGGTCTGTCCTTCATCTTTACCTAGGTGGGTTTGAATCCATCCAGCATCTTCCAAACGATCTGAGTGGTGAGTAGAGATTATGCTGATCCTGACCTCTCATCCCTCAGGTCAGCATGTCTGTCCTCTTGCCAGGAACTGGCTGCCCTGGTTGCAGGTGCTCAGGGGTGCTCAACTCTACCTGTCCTTTCAGCGTCACAGCCAGAAGACTTCAAGAAGGCCACACATAGTAGAGCCTGGGAGGAGCGCCAGGCTGTGGGCTCCAGACATTCTAGTAGCTCTGTGGACTCCAATCTGGAAGAGGAATTCCTCTCAGTCGCTTCGGACAGCTATCACCTGCCAGAGCCTGATGACCTCGATGACCCGGAACTGTTCATGGACCTAAACACCGGTCAGGATGAAGAGGAAGCTGAGAACTTTGCCCCCATATTGGCTTTTCTGGATCATGAGGGTTACACTGACCACTTTAAGAGCCTCTATGATTTCTCCTTTTCTTTCCTCACTTCTTCCTTTTACAGCTTCTCTGAGGAGGATGAGCTGGTGGCCTACCTGGAGGCCTCGAGGAAGTGGGCCAAGAGGAACCACATGACCTGGGCCCATGCCCGTCTCTGCTTCCTCCTGGGCCGGCTGAGCATCAGGAAGGTCAAACTCTCCCAGGCCAGGGTGTACTTTGAGGAGGCCATCCACATTCTCAGTGGAGCATTTGGAGACTTATCCCTAGTGGCTGCTCTGTACATCAATTTGGCTGCCATCTATCTGAAGCAGAGACTGAGGCATAAAAGCTCAACCCTTCTAGAAAAGGCAGGTGCCCTGGTGGCCTGCCTGCCTGATCGTGAGTCCAGTGCCAAGAATGAGCTTGATGTGGTGGCCTATGTACTGCGCCAGGGGATTGTGGAAGGCAGTAAACCCTTGGAGGCCAGAGCTTGCTTTCTGGCCATCCGATTGCTTCTGAGGCTAGGCCGGCATGAAGAGGTCCTGCCCTTTGCTGAGCGTTTGCAGCAACTCTCTGGACACCTTCCTGCCTCAGATACTATGGCCACCATCCTGAGTTTTCTGTATGACAAGAAGTATCTTCCATATCTTGCGGTGGCCTCTGTCCAGCAATGTGGTAACCAGAGTGCCCAGTGGATGTCTCTTCCTATTTGGCAGGTCTACTTGGTCCTCCAGAATACCACCAAGATCCTTGGTACTTCCTTTTCAAGTGGAGGTGAAGTTTCTGCCCTGGCCTGCCCGACACTCAGGCGGGCGCTGGCTGCCTGTGAGGAACAGGCTGACCTGAGCACCCAGCGGGCCCTCTGTCTCATCCTGTCCAAAATGTACCTCCAACACAGGTCTCCCAATGGTGCCATCTACTATCTGAGCCAGGCCTTGATGTTAGGGCAGCTACTGGGTGAGCGGGAAGCTTTTGAGTCATCCCTCTGTCTGGCATGGGCTTATCTCTTAGCCAGCCAGACGAAGAAGGCTTTGGATATACTTGAGCCACTGTTATGCTCCTTGAAGGAGACAGAGTATGTTGCCCAAAGTGGAGTGGTCCATAACCTCCTGGGACTTGCACTGCAAGATGAAGGTCAGATGAGCAGGGCAGCCAAGAGCTATCTCCAGGCCTTGAACAGAGCTCAGGAGATGGAGAATGTGCATAACCAGGCAGTGACTATGGCCAATCTTGGTAACCTGACCCTCAAGGCTCAGCAGCCAGCTAGGGACTATCTCCTGCAAGCTGTCCGGCTCTATTCTGAACTCCAGGCCAGCAAGGAAACGGACATAGAATTGGTACAGGTGCTTCTCTGGTTGGCCCAACTTCTGGTGTCTGGACACCAGCTGACCCATGCCCAGCTTTGTTATGAAATGGCACTGCTGTTTGGCTTAAGACATCAACACATAAAGAGTGAGTATATCCTGTGCTGCTGGGGAGCCTTAGAGATGAGTGCTGGAACATGCTTTGCCCAAGTCCTGTCTCAAGGGATCTCATTCATATCCCTGCTTTATGTTCAGGTCAGCTTCAGGTCACCAGATCCCTCTGCCACTTCTACAGCTCTGTATCCCCAAATCCTGAGGCATGCATCACCTACCATGAACACTGGCTGGCTCTAGCTCAGCAACTCAGGGACCGGGAGATGGAGGGGAGGCTACTGGAGTCCCTTGGGCAACTCTATCGGAACCTAAACACAGCCAGGTGAGATGGGCTTAGGGATGGTTCTAGAAGTCTCTTTCATTCCTTAAGGAGAGACAGTGTTCTTTCTCTTAGGGAGTCAAGTTTAAAGGCACATAGTGCATAGTGCCATGGAAAAGAACACGGTGCCACCCATTGCTTGTTAGCTGTGTGGCCTTGGGCAAGCTATTTAATTTTTCCTTGCCTCAGTTTCTTCATCAGTCAGAGGAGGATAATGATGACATCTGTAGTGTCACTGTGAGGAATGAGTGAGTTAAAGCTCACGAAACACTTGGAACAGTATCTGATTGAAAATCTCAGTAGTGTTTGCCATGCCACTGTTACTTGTGTGTTTCTGTAACAACCCATCATGTGATCATGGCTGAGGGTGTGTAATTCAGAGGTGGCAGTAGTACTGAGGACCATGGAGCCTCCAGGAGGTCTTCATAACCAGAAGACAACTGGAATTTGAGAAAGCAGGGGTGTAAAATTTCATGATACTGTTTGGGGCCTTACCTTCAAAATGAAACTGGAAATTATGAAATGAAGTTTATTATTTTCACCTGTTCACTGAGTTTTAGAATGAGTACACATTTAAAAACAGCTAACTTTCAGCTTAATCGTGTTGACAAAACTGTGTGATAGAACCGTAAGACATCCTTTGTTTTGTGACTTTTTCGGTGCTGTCTTTAAAGCTTTGCGTTTGTAAAAAATCCCTAAATGTAACTATATAACCCCAAAGCATCATTTTAACCCTTCCATACTCAAATTAGTCTCACTTGAAGCATCTTGTCATGGCTTGCTGATATTCTCTTCTCTACTTGGTCTCTTCACCGACCTCTTGATCCTGGTTTAATGACAGTCAGCTTCAGTTCTGTCTCTAAGAAACCTTTAATGGAGTCCATTAAATCTTGCAGGGTTTGCAAGAATTTTCAGTTTCACTTTGCAACAGATTTTGCATTGCAAGCTTGTGGTCATAATTATGAATGACTTCTGAAATAGGGCAGGGTACTTGCTAGTGTTGAGTAGAGAGAGGGGGTTGAAGAGAGGCCAATTATGGGGCAGCTTTTGCCTTTAAGCTGCATGATAATCTTGGGTACCTGAACAGTCAGATAATGAACTCTCTTTCTGTATGTATTCACCCCACTCCCTCTCCAATCTCCCTCTGCCTTTTCTTACAAGAATCTGATGTCCTCTGCACTGCCCACTGTTTTTGCCTTCCATGCCAGGAAGAGGGTTTGGGATCCATGCAGCATGTGAGGCCTCGTCTCCACCTGCCCTGCTTCTATTCCAGGACACCCTAGGAGTCTGGATGCTTTTGGTACAGACCCAAAAGGCAGGATTTGATGAACCATTGAGCCAAAATAATCACATGCACATGGTGAAGCATCTTGGAACTCAGCTTTGGGAAAGCTGGATTTTAAGGGAATGAAGCAAGGGTGCCAAGTATGTATCAGACTCACTGCCGCCTCTTGTTACTGTGCAAGCTCAGTCTTAGGTTAATTCTGCTCTTGGCCATTGCCTGCATCCTTTGCTTACCACCCCCTCCCTCATCCCAGTTGTCAAAAGCCCCTGGAAATTCCTAAAGTGGAACAAGAGAGTGCCCAGATGCTGTTAAGGCCTCATCTATGGCAGTGTTCAGAATCACCGTCCTTAGGAGATGAGGGTGATAAAAAGAGGTAAGGGTTAGGGCTTCAGTTGCTCCAACAACCAACTGGAGGAAGCCCAGAAGTTATGGGCTGCGAGGGAGGCACTCCAAATTGGATAAGGAAACCAGATCTTGCTATGACCTAATAACATGTTATCTGGTGACTTAAACAAGTGGCACTTCTCTTGGTTGGTTGCCATTTATAAAGTCAAATCGAGTCAGAGAATCTTCCAGTTTTCAATTGTATAGTCAGTTAGCTATTACAATTCTGATACTGACTTAGGTAGAATCCATTAGAATTCCTGCTGCCTCTCTAGAATCTTGGAATTGTGAGTGGGGCAGATTTCCTTAAAGTTGTGGGCTTTTAGGGAGGGTGAGATCAAGACCTAAACTTCCAGGGTCTGAAAGACTTGAAGTAATCCAGGAGTTCTTGAAAGCAGACATTTGTAGCTAGTTCGAGTTAGGCAGGTGTTGTGTGTATGTGGCAAGCTAAGGGGTAAACTGGTTACTTAGTCCCTAAATTCACTGCCTGGAGCTGCAGCTGTGACTGATGTGGCTCCTGCTGCCCAAGATGGAGAATGGGGGAGATTTACCTGGGGGACTCCCTGGTTCCTTTGCTCAGGGCTCAGGTAAGGAAAGACAGGTGCTCATGGCTTGGAGCAGGATTAATGTTTGTTAGTGACAAAGGACAGTGGTGAGAGCTCAGATGCTCATGCTAACAACCCCTTTGAGACACGCTCGCCTGCACAGCATTAGCTGCAGGCCAACCCAGTGGCCGTTCCTTAGCAGTACTCACTGATAAGGAACCAAACCACACATAATGATTGGAGTGGGATGTGCACCCTACAATGAGTAATGTAGTTCTTTTTCTAAAATGAAATAGTTGTTTATGGTTAAAAAATTTAAGGCAGCGTTGAAGATTGTAAGTTGAAAAATAAAGGTCCCCTTAGAACTTTCCTTCCCCAAGACTCTCCAGAAGTAACTATGTAAAGATTGAAAATATCCATATAGAAACTTTTATGCATATGAAAGATTATATATGGAATATATTCTCTATAGAAAATATGAATATGTTAAATACAAAATGCACGTCTTATTTACCTAAGTGCAATCATGTTAAAAGTTCTGTTACATAACATACTATTTTTTTGTTTTGTTTTGGCAGTACTGGGGTTTGAAGGGCCCTGTGCTTGCTAGGCAGTGCCTTACCACGTGGAACCCATGATTGCCAGCTTGCGAGTGTATATTAATATTACTGTTCTGTTGCCACGACTTTTCCTCATTAAAAAAAAATCATTATGAAGTGCTGATCCAGCATTTTTTCACGACTGTGGGATGTGCGTTTCTGATGCATGTCAGGCACTGTGATAGGGTGCTGGGAAGTTCCATGTTAGGAAAAAAATCCAAAAATAATTATTTCCAGATTGAACTACCCAAAATATTGTATAGGTCCTATACTTTGTAGACTGTGTGTATTTTCATTACAGGCACTTTAAGCAGAGGCTGACTGCTCAGGAACTTATAGTAGAGGTTTCCTGAATTTTTTTTAAAAACAACAATTTATCAATTTTATTCATGCCATGAAATTGAGCCTTTTTAACAATTTAGTTTACAATTCAAACATTACAATTAACTTTTAGTATGTCATGTGCTTATATAAGCATCACCACTACTACCAACTGTGGTGGAACTTCTTCATTGTGTTTCTACATTTGCATTCCTAAATGACTAAAGTATGTTGCGATGTCATTTCATGTGCTTGCTAGTCATTTTCACATGTATTACTTAAAGCATTGTCATATAAGTTACATGTGCCCATTCTGAAAATTGGGTCTTTTGCTTGTTTTAGCTTTGAGATGTAAGTATTCTTTATGTATTCTTGGTACAATCCCTTATAAGATAGAGCATTTAGAACATCTGTCTCCCAAACCCATGGGTTGTCACTTTTCTTTTTGGCCTGGTAGAATAGCTCAGGAATGTTCCCTATAATGTTTAATCTTCGTCAACTGATTGCATAAGAGATCAGTTTCAAAGCACAATTTTGGGCTGCGTCTGTGCAGGATGTGTCCAGAGAGGATTAACTTAGGGTCCTTCCCTTAGTTATTCAGACCCACCCTGAATGTGCGCCAGCACCGTCCCATAGGCTGGGGTACCCAGATGGAATAAAAGAGGGGAAAGGGAAGAAAGCCCACCAGGGCAGGCATCTCTCTCCCTGCTTCCTGGCTGCCATGAGATTGAGCCTTCCAGTGTACATCCTCACCTGCCATTGATGTTTGGAAATCGTTAGAAGCCATGAGCCAAAAAAA